CACTGACCTGATCTGGGCTACATTCTGGGGCATTATTTGTACACATGTACCGTAAAACTACCTGCCTTTTTGCTGTAATATCAGCTGAGGTATCCCTCAGTTTCTGCCAGAAATAGCTAGCTTGTCAGTTCCTAGCACTTAAAAAGCAGATGTAGCCATGAGAAGTGCACAGATTTCAGAGCAACACAAAATGATCCCTCCACAACATGATATGTCAAGCTTTAGTTAAGTTTAGCAAATTTCTCTATTTTAAAACTTATACTCTTTAAATGGATTGATTCGTAAGATGTATCTCTGACAAAGCCAGGACCTTTTTCTCTTGGGGCAGACCACGTCTGGGTTTTGCTCTGAGATGCACAGATGCATTTGCCATTCCCTCACTTTTACCTGCCCTTTACATTCAAACAGATGCATACAGCACTTTCATTCAGATTTTGTGGGGTGTATTTGATCTCACTACTGTGGCCATTGGTGCATAAAAAAAGGTTTACCAGTTTCCATTAGATACTCAGTGGCTGCAGGCACTCAAATGCAATTGACCAATTTGCATTGAAAATTCCAGTGTGTGCAGGAACATGTGTGGGCACATCTGTAGAAGGATGCCTGTACATGTATTTAAAAGTGACTTTTTTTTAGGAAAGAATAATGCTTATGAAGCTAAAACAAACAAACAAACAAAAAACCCCCAAAAAACCTAAGACCTATCTACTACTGTGTTAAAGCAGCATTTACTATACCTCTTCAAGGCAAAAGGAAAATGCAATAAAAATTCAACCCCAAAAAGTCCAGGGTGTTGAATTAGGTAGACAAGTGGAAACTAAAAGCACCTGTGCACACTGTGGCTGATGGAGCCACGTCCCACAAGTCTGTTGCAACAGATCCCACCACAACACCACGGTCTGACACGGGGGGTGGCAGCAGGGAGAACCCCATGGGGATGTGTGGGTGAATATGAAGGGAACACCGGGTTTGCCAGCAAACCTTTATCAACAGAGCTGCTTTGGATCTTTCCCAAACAGATCTGATTCTGAAACATATTCATTCCTGTGTTGTAGGCAAATCTCTGGGCATAAGGTGTGAAGCATAGTTACTGAACCAGCAGGAGCCATTTCCTATGTTCCACCAGCCCACCTGGCAGCTCAGTCTCCCAGTGGCATTTCTGCACGGGTTACATGTTCAAGGCTGGAGACTAAGCTTCTGGGCTTAGTCCCTGCCTCCAGTCTTCCTGCTGCCCCCTGCTCCAGGCTTCCCACGTCACATCCCTCATCCCTCCTCTCTGCAGCTGCCAGCTGGTTAGTGGCAGGAGGAGGAGAAGGAGTGCATGGTTTGGGTAGCAGTGCCATGCCTTGCTCCTTATGCCATGCCTTGCTCCTTATGCCATGATCCTCAGGAGGCATACCTCCCCCAGCCCTTCCCAGCTGTCTCCTTGCACTCACCCACGGGATCTCACAAATCTGGAAGCTAATCTTCCTCCACGTGTCCCTGTATTCAAACATGCCCATACAGAAATATATGTAACATACCTACACGCTCAACGTGTAGGTGTGCTCACGGTATAACTATCTGCTCTTAGGAGTTCTGAGCATCTTTGGCAGTTGCTGTTTTTTATTTTTTTATGTATATAATAATATATATATATATATTGTTCTATACCAGACCCAAATTAAGGAAAGTTCCCATTAAAGCCATTCTAAAAAGGCAAAGGACATGCCAGGCCATTCAAGGTCTAAAATTTTCAGAAGTGATGCCTCCAATATTTTGGCATGTTGCTTGAAACACATAGTAAAAAACTAGTTTTCTGAAGAGTGATGATGGCACTCTCCAGTAATTAAAATCCTATAAGAGGCAAACCCAAATCAACAGTCATTTTCCAAAATATAACTTTCCAACATTCACAGAGCCTTCAAGTGGAGAAACGGAAGATCTTACTTTATGCTGAGAAGATTATAGCCCACATACTGGTGAGAAACTCAAGTACATCTTGGTAAACATTCCCTATTAAGCAACATTTTCCAGAGTCTTTCATTCACTCTGTAAAAGCCCACTACAAGACAGCTAACATATCTACTCTCCAAGACTTACTCACAAATCATCTGGTTTAAAAGAACACTCTCCAAGTACACTTCACAAAGTTTTCCATTTTGCCCTCTCAGGCAGCCTAGCAACATTGCTGGCAATAAATAATACTGCAAAGGAAATTCTGTGTCAACTAGGAGGGTTAAAAAACAGACATAAGAAAATGTACAAAAAAAGAGTAATTTATTGCACCGCAGCATCTGCTTTTATCTGTATCCTTTTGAGAACAAATTAACAAGTCCTGCCTATCTCCATATGTTTCTTTATGTGGCACAACATGGTTCTGGAAGTATGTGTTCATTCAGTCCATAATAGCAAAGATGTATGTTTCTTATGCACTGGAGAACATGAGAATTATATGTTGATGATACTTTTATAATATGATAAATCACTGCAAGAAAAAAGAAATATTTTATAAGCTAGAAGGGAAGATTTGGGGGTTCTTTTTGTTTGTTTTTTGGTTTGTTTGTTTTTGTTTGGTTGTTTGGTTTTTTGTTGTTTTTTTTTCTACAGAAAGCAGCTTAACCTCAGTGTTTCATGTACACTCTTCACAATCCCCATATGCTTAATGAAATCACTCTTAGAAGGTCAGTAATGAATGTATTTTTGTTTTTAACAATTAAAAACAAATTTAGTGTAAAAACCAGAATGAAAGTGACTTTTTTTCTGAATAAAGTTCCTTTTTTTTCTTGGATATAGCCTATGTATTTATATACATACGTATATAAAGGACTTTAGCAATTCAGCTGTAAATCCACTCAAATCTTTGAACTAAATTCTCAATAAATATGCAGAATTTAAGGTGTAAAAAACAGTATTGAAAAAAGTATTTTGCCCTAAATTAGCTGTGAACATATATAAACCAAAAAAATTTCTGGTGTAGTTGTTTTGTTGTATAAAATAGCTTTGCCTTAAGTTTAAAACCTAATACTGATATAATTTCTATACTAACAATAGAGTAAAACAATTACAGGACTTTACACTAAATTCAATTTTCATTTACATTCAATTCAATCTCAATTTTCAATTCAAGATCAAAATATTGTGGAAACATGGCTCTTAAGGCAGAAGAAAAGACATATCTGTATCTAAAAATGTGGATTATATATGTCAGAATTACAGCTCAGAATAGCTGAAAAAGTTAATGACATTGTATTGACTTACACCAGTTTGGGATCTGCATCTGAACAGTGGTGGGGCAGGGAAGAGATTGTTTACTTGAGTCAGACACCAGTGACAATTGCAGAGATAACATTTTCCCAGTTGCAAGGGGGAGTTTTAATCATACAAAACCCATTCAGGGTGTTTTGTTAGCAATCATTAATCTTGCATGGTGCTTTTAGGCACCTAGCATATTTCTGTAAAACTGTTAACATACTAAATTAATATACTGAGGAAGTGCCAATACAAATCAAGCAAAAGGCAATACTAAGATTATCAAACTTACGAGATGGCTTTAAAAGTTATAAAACTGTCTAAAAACCCTTGGATAATTGGATAATTCTCTATTTCTTTCACTTTTCGTCTTGGTTCTGGGGCTTAACAGGACAATCAAATTTTATTTTTTTTTTTTCCGGTAAAAGTAAGGCTTAGAAATTATTTTTTTGGGTTTTTTCCATAATGAAATCTGACATCCTCAAACAGATCCTTCCAAGACCACGATAATTAAGAGGAAGAATAACAAATGTTGGCAATAATTGTTTGCGGATGCCCCCAGTCAATTTAATTGAGAACTGAGTTCTATGACAAGGTTGTTGAACATGAACAGATAACAGGCAAATTATTTTTATTATGGAGAAGGATACCAGCCATGGTAACAAAAGGCATCATAGGTGATAAGTAAAGCTTGCTCATCGAAAACATGGTGATGTCTCCTCTCCTTAATGATTCAACATCAAAAATTACTCTAGCAGCTCTAGGAATTAAGCTTCGAGCTCTAAGTGCACGTGAGGCTTTTATTAAAATGGATGAGTTAGAGATACCATAAGAAAATTAGCCTAGATAATTTACTACTTTAACTTCAATAAACATGGAACTTTGAACTAAACAAATCAGTTCAATTCTGCAGAAATTTTCTACTGTGGCCCTGTATCTCCAAGTGATTTTTCTTCTTGGAAATCACATCAAAATGGACCAGATACCTACACAAGAGAGAGGCTAATTAAAAACATAATTTTTGCCCATATTAAAAAAGGAAACCTTTCAGCCACTCAGCTGAGAAGTTTCAGCAGGATGATTCTCTGGACCAAGACGCTGAGACCTGCCATCTCACAAACAGACATTTTTTCCAATCTGCCCAAATCTGCCCAATTTATTAAGCCTTTGAAAAAAATCTTGCTCTACACGTGTTCAGTGCAGATTCCTTAGGTTTGTCAGACACACCACATCTGTACCTTTTCCTTCACTGTACATCCTTCCTTTTGCCACATTTGCCATCCTTCATCCTGTTGCTGCAAAGCAACCTCTGCTGCAAAAGAGTTGTCATGAGTTTAAAAGCTCTCCTTGGGTGTTTCAATGGTACTTCTCCACACACGCAAGGGGGAGTAACTACTCTTGCATTTGAGCCACTTGGTTGGGATTCAAGGTGTCTGGGGGTACTCCTTAACCTGCCACAGCTGTGGTGGCTGTGCTCCATGGACCCTGTCATCCTGACTCTCCTTTTCTTTACCCTCGTACCACAGGACTGACAGTCTATTCCCCCTAGTCCTGCGCCTGCTGCGAGTTTAGATAAATAAAAATGTGTTGTGTTTTTAAGGGAGTAAAAATACATTAAATTCAAGGGGTTTATATATAATCTCCACATGAACATCTGGAAGCAGATGTTTAGAATCCCTTAAAACTGGATGTTTAGGGCAGGGGGAAAGGGCAACTGGGATCCTACCAGGAGGTGTCCAAAGGCAGACAGAGGCCTGTATGCACACACCCTGTCTCTGCTGGGGGGTAAACCGGGATGTCCACTGAGCAGGCTGGTCAGACATGTAAGAACAGCTTCTTTCTGAGTGTCCTCAGCATCATGCAGTCCTATGGGCCTAGAATAAAAAATACATGGTAGTCCAGAACTTTGTTAGAAGGGGGAATATCTTTTATCAAATCGTATATTAACATTGAAAACAAAATCAAACTAAAACAAGAAAACTTGCAGTCTTTCAAGAACTTCTACATGTCTGACAGAAAGGTAGCAGACTCCCAGTACAGGTTGGAAGGAATTATGCTAGCTTGATTATTTTAATCTATAAAATAGTTTGAGAGAAAAGAGTGGTGCTCCTACCTCTCCCTACACAGTCTACATTTTATAGAACTGCGACTACGACATAGTATATAACATGCTGTGCATTTGAAATATGTTTATATGAGGCTCCCACAGAATAGGAAAGCATCATGTAGCGAGGAACAGAGTATTTTTATACACATGCCAGAGGCAACGGCTGGCCTGGGGGGGACCGACAACTTCTGAGCATATAGGTGCATGGTTTTCATCCTGGTGTTGTCCTGCAAACAAAGCAAGTTGTCCCATACAAAATCAGACAAGTGAGTTTCCAGCTACAGCATCTTTTTTTCCCCCTACTCTACTTTTCCTGTGGTATTGAGAGACCCAGGGCAGCAATAGGCTCTTTACACCCAGCCGACTTCAAAACAGTTTCTATCTCGGATTACCAGAGTCTGCAGAATTCAGCTGTTTTGAAAGCAGTCAGAGGTCACTGCAAATCAGCAGTCTTTGAAAAGTAACCTGTCAAGGCATCCACTTCTCATGGTTTACCACATCTATCTAAACATATCTATACACAAAATGGATGACGTCTCCTGCTGCCCTTTCGAATAGTTTAGTGTAAGACCTCTCTGTTTTCTCAGCCTTTGTACTGCTCTGATACACAGGGCCAGCCGGCAGTTCCAATTAAAAGAGCAGAGGAAAAAAAGAGTGGGTAGATCTTCTTCCAGATGGCTTTGAAGAGACATCAATCTGCTACAGAGGTTCACAAGACCCCAGACAAGTAGTTAGATAAATCAAGACTATGCATTAAGGCTAAAATCGCAGCATTACATCAAACCCAAATGTTTTTTCAGTATATTAATTACCACAGCAATTTGGCTGACTAGAAAAGGTGAAAGTGTAAACTTTAACTGAAGAAATCAAGGACCATATTACCAAGTTTTAATACTTTCCCATTATTCCTGTTATATGCTAGTTAATCTTATTGTCACAATCCTCTGATGTATCCAGCAAATGTGCACCTGTACACACATACATGGAGTGCGGTCTATCTGAGAGAAAGGCGGGGTAAAGAGCACAAGCCAGTGTGCTCCATCATCACATGTAGCGGTTAAATAGCTGCACAGCATCCTCCCTGCAATGACTGCATCCTCTCCTGTCTCTCTATCCTCTCCTGATCAGTTGATGCCAACACAGGAATGTCTCTTCTGGCACTGGATTTTGAAGGTTAGACCTCCAGCAGACTGAGAAGTAAACAGTACCCTGAATCACTGTCTTTTGAAATGGCTGAACTTGCCATGGCCATGGATAGGCTAGAATGAAAGTTTGTGAAATTCCCCTGCACAGGACAAATGTGAGGACACTGAAAAAAAAAAGAAAAAAAAAGAAAGAAAGAAAGAAAAAAATGTTCCATGTTCCTGCAGGAATGACATGATGCTGGGGCAACTGCTAACCATAATAGCTTGGTGGCTTTGGTAGAGCATAGCATGGATCGCCCCATCCAAGCATCACATTTCCTGCACTCATTTATACCAACAGAAAACCCTCTGCTCAGAAATAGCACGGATACTTTGTGATCATCAACACTGGTCTGTGAAAACATGAACAGAGAATGTCAGGATAGAAAGGAGGAATTTGCAGACCTCGGCGCTTCCCAAACCGTGTCTGCACCCGCTGCTTCAGCGAGTGGCTGGGGGAGAGCAGCGGCAACCACACAAGCAGTGGGAGCCCGGGAGGCCCTGCTTGACCCCGGGTTGCCCTCGGGGAGCTCGGAGGTGGAGTCTGATTCTGAGATCCCCCCATGGTGAGGCCATTTCCCCACTCCATGCAGGCTGCTGCAGCCGCTGGGGAGTTCCTGCTCCAGCAGTGAGGGCAAGGGGTGAAGGGGGCTGGTTGCTTTTGCAAACACGGTTAACAAAATGTTGATATTATGCTTAGCCGTTGTCTCCTTGTCACTAGTCACTTGCAGTTATACGTCCAGATGTTAAAAATGCCATCACGAGGCAGAGCTGATGAACTCTGCTGTTACTCTTACGGTCTTCTACATATTCAGGAGGTTATGTAGCCTCATGGGACTGTGACCGTGTCTAGAGAGGGGAAGGGGATGGCTTTAGGTTTTATTCAAACTTCAGCACTTTACCTCTACATGGGAACTTATTTCATTTAAGACATCCTGGGGTATCCAACCTATCCTCAAGAAGACCACAGTTCTCCCTCAGGTCCTGTGCTGTATTTTTCAGCCCTGTGTGGACATCCCATTCTGCCCAGGGCATTTCAAATGGCCCTGGGCATTCATGCTTCAGCAAATTAGCTGAGTTGGCAATGTTCTCCTCTTGTCAGCAACTTATATCACATGCTGGTGGTGTGGTTGGCAAAACACAACAAAACTCACAGGGAAAAACTTAGTGATTTTATTGCAGGATACAAATGGAAAGAGTGTGATTCCCCTGGAAACTATGTTATTCTATCGCCTAGGATTTATAGCCTGTGCCTAAACTACAGGTGAGAAAAGTTGTCTTCTATAAAGCCACTGAAAGATGGGCATCTCCCATCAGGATATTCTGACTCAGATACTCTAAAACATTTCTTTCTTCTTACTCACACCTTTGGAAAAAAATTGAGAATCCAGATAATAAGACTGAGAATAAAAGGCCTCCTTTTAGGTAAGGTTATGTACTGTTTATTGCAGAGTAATTTAAAGCCACTGAAGAAGTTAGTAATTTAAAATCACATTAGGAAAAAAATTATTTTCCCAAAGCCTAAGTTAGACCCGAAGGAAAATACTTTTTTTTGGCACTTCAAGAAGTGCCCTGTAGCTCTCTTTAAAGCTAGTTTTAGGTCCTTTTCTAGGAAAAAATAAGATAAAATTTATAAACTGATAAATACAGATCTGGTCATGTTTTAAATTTAATTTAGTCGGACTTTGTGTCTTTAAGGGGTGAGTGACTCCAGAGGAAATCTCATCAAAGACAGTCATTTACTGGAAAGAGTAACAGAGTAAAAATTTCCCAGTATGGTGCTCCGTCATGAGATGAAAAAGAGAGTATCCAATCTGATCAAGCTCATCTACTGGACATAAGGCTGGGTCCACAAATCCTCCAGTTCTTCTTTGGTCCGTTTAGGCTCAAAGTGTCCCTAGAAAGCTATGAGGCTCACTCTTTGTCTGTCTAATCTTTCGTCTGAATAGTGGAAGGCTTTGGATTAACCACTAAAAACCCAACATGCAGCTGATGGTTGGTTTCCCAGCTCCACTCTTGGGGGCACTGGTTTACAATGCTGTCCCTCAGATACTCACAGCCATTCAAGAGACTGAGACACAGTCTTGTGAAGGACATCTGTGACAATCACTGTTTGTCTTGAATGCTACAAAATATAAGGAACTATACAAGCATTATTCTGAAGAAATTAATTTTTTTATATATAAATAGCAGTGAGAATCCATACACGGTACGTGTATAGGTCTACTAAGTTATCACAGGCTAAAGAGGGAACCTTCTCCCAGGTCCTTTTCCCAGATTAGGACCAATTTCACACCCAGAAGATGCTGCCCCCAAAATGCCAACACTGACAGACATATTGACACTTCAGCATTGATAGGGTTTCAATACTCTCCAGGTGGGCTATTTTCATCCCAAACTAGCAGTGTCTGCTCAAGAATTAAAGAGATCTAGATAGACTTACCACCTGTCCCGCTCCACTGGGCTTCAAGGCTGATAGAAGGGGGTCAGCAAGTGTCGGTGTGCTCCTGCGTCAGGGTACCCAGTCTGTAGCTGTTTTATATCTTTGAAGACAGATGTGCTTCCCTTTGTTTTACTATCTTCTTGCCTAATCATCCATCTGTGAGAAAAGAGGATATTATGAAGATACAAGTTACAGAGTAAAAGTTATGGCCTGTATTATTTAAGAAGTCAGACCTGGTGATCTAGTGGCCCCTCCCGGCCCTGAAATCTGGAGTCCCTTCTGACTGACACAATCAATTCACTTACTGGAGAAGCCTCTGGGCCTAGGCTGTTGGCTCATCTTTTATACTGTTCTGCACTAATTGACAATAATGAAGGTATGTGTAGTCTCCACTAGATCACGTGTTTTAAGACAACTTCAGAGTAATCATAGCAGTATGGATGTCATCAGCCTATAGACTCACTGTCAAAAATGAAATGAGACCAACTTTATGTCATTTTGCCTCATGTTCAGTTCCTAATTTTCTGGATGAAAATTTCCTTCTGTAAATAAGTCATCTTCCATAACAAGCTGAAGGTACAAATGCTCATATATATCTGTGCAATATTCAGCCTGACAGAAAATTCACTAAGTTCTCTGATAGCTAATTATTAACCCAAAATTTCAGATATAATGTTTTGCAGGCATAAAGTGATGCTGAATTGAGTGCAGAAGGTGAGAAACAGAGTATCTTCTAATCCTTCCCCATCCAGTTCTCCATTGTCATATTTACTTCATTCCACTGGGAGTAGCTTTTCTCGGGGAAATATCTGCAGCACAGAAAATATCCCTAGCAGGATGAGAGTGGCTGCAGTGGCCAACCTTGCTGCCTCATAATAATCTGTGTGATTGACCTATCATCAAATATCAGTGGGACAAGGCATCTTGCCTATTCTCTGTTTCATACAGGTGATATGGAGAACATGAAATTAAACTAGAGTTGCCTTCAGGCTAGCCTCCAACCTCCATGGATAGTTTTCTAGGCGGAACTAGAGAAACAAAAAGCTATAAAAGAAAGATATAAAAAAAAAGAAATAATACTAATCAGCCAATGAATTTTGATACAAAGTGTGTACAACACTTCTTCCACCTGCATTGTATACTTTCAGTACTCTGAAGGAAAGGCCAAAAGGGAAGTAATAAAAACGCCCTTGGGTACTAAGAAATTGGCTCATAAAATAACTACAGTAACAATGTTGATTATTAGCTTTACAATACAAGATAAATATAAATGGAGTATATCCTCGAACTAGCAATATACGAGGAATCAATCTCAATAAAAACAACTGATAGGATAAGCTATTTGGGAAGCAGATAGCAGCCCGGACTGGCTTAGAAACATTAGCCTGTGCTTCTCTGTAGTGATTGATGTCTTCTCCTGCCAGATGACACTGAACTTCGCAGAGAGTGAGGCTTGGAGGGAGGTATTTGTAATGCCTGTCTGTAATCTCCAGAAGCCTTATGACTTCTGTGAAGGATAAATGCAGAAATATCTGTATTTCAGCTAGAAGACAGTCTCTGCTAAAACAGAAATTAAACATATTTACAAGACAGTGAGTTATGATAGAAACCTGACCAGGCATTTCTCAAAGTGGCTGGCATCATCTGCTGACAGAACCACACTCAGAAAGCCAATCTTCAAACCTATGATGGGAAGCATGGATGTTATCACAACACAAAAGTGCGAGAATTCAGATTTTTTTCCTAATCTTTTTCCTCTGGCAAAATTAAAATGGCTTTTGATTTTCTTTTACTTTGAAACAAGGCTAATGGTCATATTTTTGAAGGGAGAGGTAAAGGTGGAGTAATACCAAATTTGATTTCATTGCAGGTCAATTCATCATTGATCTTTGCTCACCTGGGCTGCTATGACACCTCGCTGATCTCGTCACTCAAACATGTCTTCCTTTTACTCACTTCCCCAGCCAGACTGCCTCTCATGTGCTGGCTGTGGTCTCCTTTCCACTTGATCTGACATGGAGCAGCTTGAAAGATGGCTGAACCAAGTGCAGCATGGGACACAAATACCCAACGGGAGACCTGTTGAAAAATGGCATGAGTCACGTCATTTCTTGTTCCTTGTGACAGAGAAAAGTCCCTAAGCTTCTGCTTGAGTTCACATCCTGGTCATAATTTCCTAATCATTCAGGGTGATGTCATGGGTAAAAAATGCATGAGTGACTGAAATTAAATTGAAGGCTAGGCTGTTCCTTGCAGTGTTACTTCATTACTAGAGAGGGAGAGGGAACACAGAGGGGTTTTTTCATTTATCGCTTATGGTATCCTTATTTCTCAAGACAGGAAGGTCAACTTTTCCACAGCATCCTGCTATGCTGCTCTCCTTCAAGACATTAAAATACACCTAGAAATGTACCCTCTGGGCCTGCCTAGTGAACCCTTCCCTGGCTCCCAAGGTCCTTGGAACAGAGAGATTCATTATCTATCCCAATGCTGCAGGAAAATGGTCACCACAGGCTCAACTCAAATAGTTCTTTGCCCAATGCAGCTATTAAAAACCAATTTGTTAAATAGTATGACTAGGAAAATGCTTAAACAGGTCAGTTCTAATTTTTCAGGAGGGAAGGAGGAATATCCTTCAAAGATGGTACATAAAGCACATAAGAAGACCTGATTTTAACCAGATGGCTTTTCAGTCTCAGGTAATTGTTATGATCAAGACACTATCTTTCTGAGGCATCTCCAGGACAATTTCTGTTCCAAGCACAACCAAATTATGTAGAAACAGAAGGCTCTATCCGTGGCAGGTGAGATTCACAACCCGTTTGCATCATTACTAAGACCACTAAATGTAATGCTATGCTGACTTAAGGGAAGTATAACAATGACAATTATGATTTAAGAACATAACCCTAATTACATTAAAATAAAATAATAATAACATCATTAATAAAAAGCCACTTCTGAAGAGCAATTTTCATTCAGAACTAATTTGCCTGTTCTGGGCAAAAGTCCATCCTAATCGTGCTGAAAGTCAATACATTACTCCGACTTGAGGCAAAGGCACATCAATTCTTGACAGCTTCTGCAGATGCTCTGTCCTTCTGCAAAAAAAAAGCCCTTTAGTATTCGGACAGAGTGATTTGCAAAAAGGGTTTTGTGTCACAGCTATTAAATAAAGTATAAATTCCCTCCATGGAAAATGCAGTCATCCTCTATAGCAATCTAGTTCTCCCTTTCATGCATGAAATGTATCTCTAACTTGATACAGAACAGTCAATGGCTTGAGTGAGTGCTCTTTATGTGGCAGAAGCTTTCCATTTTCTGTGTTGCATTTTTAAAGCTCTGCAGACATTTTACCACAGGGCTCTGGCACATGAAGTGGGTTTGTGGTTTCACTGGGTTTGTTATTTCAACCACTTACAACAAGGCTAAACAAAGTCACCAGTGTCTTCCCTTAAGAAGAAAAGTCTGATCAGACCCATGGTCTATTATACGCCAATTCCATGAACTAGCAGTCTAGAAAAAGCAGCTACAGGGGAAAACCAGAAGTTTCATCTTGTCTGCAGACAGCGGTCTGGGCAGCGTTCTCCAGAAGCCCATGCTTTGTCTGCCCTGTGTGGCTCTTGGCCACTCAGGGGCAGACCCCCAGACAAGGCAGACTTTGGCATGACCTTGCAACCATTCCTGTGTCCTGATGGGAATTAAGTTTATTCAGAGCACATCACTATGCTGGCATATGCCTGTCACAGCATGTCTGTATGTCTTAGCTTCCCAGGGCACACAAAGCAACAAGGCTGAGAGATTTCTGAACGAGTTCCTCCTCTCTCCTTAGCTTTGCCACTTCATCTTCCTTTTTTTTTCATTACATCAAGAATGTTTCATTAACATTTTGCATTAACATCAAGAATATTCTCTTTCACATTGTACCATGGCCCCAGCTGTGGTAACAGAGTGAACAACCTTGGCCAAGTGGCCGCAGAGGTAGATGTCATAGGCACTGGAACCCCATGGCTCCCAACCTCAGCTAGACCTGAAGAGTTACTGAAATGCTAACTCCATCCTGAAAGCACATTTGCTAAGGCATAAGGTGCTTTCCAAATCAGGCAAGCCAGATCCTGTTCCCAGACAAAAGAGTCTGGAGTCTCAGTATACAACATTTCTATGAGAAAAACAGGGAGAATAGCACAGGGGGTTCACATCTGTGACTGTTTGCTCAACTATTTTGGTAATGAACCTCACGCAGAATATAATAAATATACACTTCATCTCATCTTAATAGAACCCATCCCAGAAAACATATTTTCATAAAAAAACCCAAAGTTAGAATTCTCTTTGGTAAGAACACTCTCAGAAGGTGGCAGAGCTAATGCTGAGATGTGGCTGCAGCATGGCTTAATTTTTTTGTGTCGCATAGGTAATAAATTATTCTTTCTACTTTAGAACATAGATATATTTGCTAAATAGCTTCATATCCATTCAAGTCACATATCACCCCAAGGCTCTTAAACATAACAAATATTTACGATTTAAGTCACATCTCCCAAGTTAGATTATACTGCTTTTATGCCTAGGCATGAACTAAAAGAGACCAAAATACTCTTGCAAAAGAAAAGCTACAGGGATGCAGTAAGGTTTCTGAAGTTTTATAAGTTTAAAAAAAAAAAGAGAAAGTAGACTGAGAGTGGAAAAACATCTTGTCGATATAGTAGCCAAGTTAAACCAGATGCTGCAAGGGTAACTTACCATTAGAAATCCCAGAGGTGGTTCTATTTACCAGGGAAGGGATGGAAGGGCTAAGGGAAATTAATATTAATTGGGTTTATTTAGCTTGGCCATTGGCCACAAAGTTCAGATAAAGTGCATTTCCCAGCCAACTCTTATACATGTAAAGTTTCACCAAGTCAGATGTAAGTTATTATGTGTTTTGTCACTTCAACACGAAAAAAGAAAGAACTACAAAGCCGTACAAAGGAGTGGTTTCCCTGCTTCTTTTGGCCATATTAGATGCTTTCATTGTGCAAACATACCTGTTAGAAATATTTTTTTAACAATCCTGCCATTGGCCATCCAAAAGTAAAACTGCAAACATGGCACTTCTTTGTAACTAAAGGATATGAGGAAAAGCAAATTCACCAGAGACCTTAATACATCAGATACAAGCTTCTTTTTAGTATAGTATTTTTAAACCTTCTATGATTGCTGAGGGATGAAGGCTTAAAGATGAAGTGGAATTCCATGAGCAGGGCACTTACGGGGGCTTCCTTTGGACTCATGAATTGTTGCTGGGCTTGTGCCTATTTCTTGTGGTCAGACAAAGGTGGGCTACCTCCCATGAGATGTTCTAGATCACAAGAAAGCTAGGCTAAAACCTTGACTGGCATGGCAGATGAGACAACAAATTTCCAGTACAGCAGAAGGATGGGATGGGATGAGACGGGATGGGATGGGATGGGATGGGACGGGATGGGATGGGATGGGATGTGTGCTCGTGATTCCAGTGGCTCTATAGCTGACATTAGTATCCTGTCTACTGCACTAGTGCTTGCCCTAAACAAGAGACAAGCCCAACTTGTCTCCCAGCTTGGGCTGTAGACTGCTTACCAACCTATGTGCTGCCAAGAGAATACAGGTTTGGAGTAGCTGCTTTTTTTTTCCTTTTTTTTCAGTTTACAGAACTTATAGAGCAGTGACTCATGCTGGAACTTTCTTCCCTTCACTTTAAATTGGCTCCTTGTCACTTTTATGGAACAGAATTTATTTGAAGTTTTTAAAAAAAAAAGAAAGCAAAAATATCTCCACACTGGTGCCCCCATTACACTACATTGTGTGTTATCTCCTGACTTCATTTTTCTGTGTCTTTTCTTGAAGTGTAGTGCCAGTGGGAAGCTGCATTTGTGACATGAAAGGCTTTTTAGGGGTGAGAAAGGCCTTGTATAAGAGAAAAAACTTATGTTAGCTGTCTGAGAGCACTCTTGAGAAAATCTTGGCAAGAAACTTGCTCAGAGAGCAAGAGAAGAGCAGGTCAAGTTGGAGTAACATCCAAGCTGTAGTGGAATGCACGGGCTGAAGTTAAATCTCTGGCAAGATGGGCTTCAGCAAGAGCTGTGGTACATTTACCTATGGCAGTTTCATTGCCTGTCACCTCCTGTAGGCATCTTTCTCCTGTGCCATTTCCTGGAAAGGAACAACCCAGCTGCCTCATTTACTCAGTGAATACGTTTGGCATCCAAGAGGTCGGGTGACAAACGTTTGTTAGCTGCATTTGCTCAGGCAAGGGCACTTGGCTATTGGTCCACCACCGCTACACATGGCCTGTTTGTTGATCTGGCCATCAGTGCTGTTATGTTTCAAATTGTTGGGACCATGACTCACAGTTGCCTTTCAAAAGGGAGGAAAAAAAGGAAAACAAACCCCAGCAAGCTTGCTGCTCTTGTACTTGATGTGCAAGCACTAAGCTGCCTTTTCCCAGGAAAGAGATATATCTTTCACACAGGTCTTGATCCAGTTTTCGGTCAACAAACAGCTGGATAACAAAATATCATGGTGGCTGGCAATGACTGGCAACTTTGCTGGCAACATCAGCTACCCTTTGGCTCCCAGGGGCATCTTTTGCTCAAAATAGTCCATGGGGTTGGTTTGTAGAACATTTTCCATCCAAAGCTTACCTAAAACTGCCAACATGAAGCCACTGTTTTCAAAGCAGGAAGGGAGAAAGAAGAGATCTAAACTTTAGTTCCTGTGCCCTCAGTTGGATATCTGAGTAGACATATTACTTTCTGAATGGACAGAACTAACCATGCTTCCAGATCCAGTGAGACCTGTTCAGTTCCAAGAAGCCCACCTGTTAATCCAGGGATCTGGAAGTGACTGAAGCTGACAGGGAGATGTTTGGCTGACCATCTCCTGGAAATAAGATGTCAAATACGACTTGGGAAAGGTGGCTAGTCCAGGCCAAAACCAGGGAATAGATTATGACTAAGAAAACTCCTGCTGAAGCAGGAAGCAGAGGACCTGGTGGAAATCACTGCCTGCCAGCATTTACCATGGTAGTTGTCAGCTGCCCCAAGGCCCTCACTGAAAGGCAGTGGGCTTACAGCAGTGTCCCTCCACAAAACCACTGAAACCTCATTCCTCTTCCCACTCTATCCTCATTTCACCTCCTCATTTGTGACTCTGCTCATGTCTCAGTGGGGGCACTAGGAAGAAAGTTTGAGAGACATCAGTTTGAGAGAAAGGGCAGCAAACCACTGTGGTTTTAGGCATGTCAGTCTAATTGCGGGTACCCAGGTGCACGATGCGCAGATTGCATCAGCATACTGATTTCACAGGTGTGACATGGAAATGCCAATTAGAAATGACTGTACCTAGGTTACATGAAGGGAGGGGGCAAGTTGAACCCATCCTATGCTGCAGCCACCAGGCACAACTTGGGAAATGGGCACTCTTGTTGCCTAGTCTCCCCTGTCATCAGAAAATTGCAACCAACAGCAGTATCAGCCACAACACCCTTCAGCCCTCCTGACTCCTCAGGTTCAGCAAGAAATTTAAGCACATGCTCATTACTAAACACAGTAACTGAAACCAATTGGGCTGTCCATGTGCTTCCAGTTAGGCGTGATTTCCTCCAAGTCTCTGCTTCAAATGTACTTCACATTAGAAAAGAAAACGTCTGTAACAATATATAACAAGAAGGCAAACTGCTGCACATTAATCCTAACCAGCATGCTTCCTCCTGCCTACTGAAAAAGAGTTATTCAAAGCACAGGGTTCAATAAGTTGTCTGTGACCCACACATAGTTAAGTATATTACCCTGAGATCACATCCACAAAATGAACACAAGAAAAAAAAGAAAGAAAGGGAAAAAAAGGAAAGTCTGCATCCCACTGCATTCATCCAAATCTTTGCCAGCATCTCCAAAAAGGAGAGTTTGTTAAACAGAAATTTAAGTTACTAGTAAATTGGCTTGGAGAAAAATAGAAGATCTTCTTTCCTGTCTTTGGGCAATGTTCTGTAGGGGCCTGTGGCACAGCAGAGATTTCAGAGGCACTGCCTGAGGAGCTACAGAAAAGACAAGCAACAATCTCTTCACTGAACCTCAGAGAGAGACAGTAGAAGGATTTATTATTCCACTGTATGCACTGCTTGCAAGCAGTTCATCTTTCTCCCTCTGTTTATTTGTGTCTTTTACTGTCCCTAATGAAGAATCCCAAGGCTATCAAGTCTAAATTACAGTCATTTTATGTTTCTAACATTTATTCTGCTGATCTCCCCTCTTTTCTGGTGCTTTTGGCTGCTGAGATGTGTTTGACCCGCTGTTGGGAGGAGATACAGCTGCTGACTGCATTCTTCATTTCATCTGTTTTCGTCTGTTGGTATAACTCCACTAAAATCAATGAGACAGCACTCATTTCAAGCTGGTATTACAGAGTTTAGAATCTGCACTAAAAACTCTGGACAATTTGGATTTCTGTAAATAATTGAAAATCTATCACCCAAGTTTTTCTGTGGCACTTCAAAATCTTCTGGAAAGTACTAAGCATTATACAGACATAATTTCATGGACAAACGGAAGACTGCCTATTAAAGAATTTGGTGCAGGTTTGCTGCAAACAGTGCCCTTTGGTATACAGCCAGCTCTCAAAATCTAACACCTACATCATCTTTGCACTAGGAGAGAAAGGGGGGATTTGTAAAAGCATGTTTCTGGAGCTTCTCTGGATGCTCAAACTTGATGGGAGAGTTCCCATGACAGGAGACATTTCACAAAGCCAGCAGTGAACAATCCACAAGTTTCTTCAAAGTCAGCAGGACCTCACAGGGCAGTGTTTGTCCCTGCCTGGATGGTGGCTGTCTCACTTCCCTCAGTTTTATGGGTTCTAATCTATTTCCATCCCTTACCCTATTTTATGGTTGTGGTTGATAAGATAAATTAGTCTCTTTTT